GGAAACTAAACGGCACACTCTGAATCATGAGTGGGTAAAAGGAGAAATCAAGAAAGAGAGGAAAGTATGCTTGGGAAGAGAATGAAAATGAGAGCACAACCCACAGAGCCTCTGGACACCCTAAAAGTCCTGTGAGGGGGTATCACAGCTCTTAGTGACCACATTAAAAACTGGAAAGAGCACATATAAAGGACTTGACAGTACAACTCAAGACTGCAAAGGCAAGGACAAACCAACCCCAAACCTAGTGGACAACAAGAAATGACAAAACTCAGAGCAGAAATTAATGAAATAGAAACAAAGAAAATAATAATAATAAAAAAAAATCAATGAATCTAAGAGGTCGTTCTTTGAAATGTTAAACAAGATAGACTGACCCTTAGCACAGTCAACCAAAAGAAAGAAAGGGCACATCCAAATTAAGAAAATCAGAGATGAAAGGGGAAACATCACAACAGACACCAAAAAAAGTCCAAAACATTGTTAAGGGACTACTTTAAAAATCTATACTGTATTAAAGTTGAAAACCTAAAAGAAATGGATGAATTCCTAAAATCATGGCCACCACCAAAACTAAGCCAAGAGGAAATCAACAGCCTAAAGAGACCCATAGCAAATAAGGAAATTGAAACAGTAATACAAAACCTCCCAACGAAAAAAAGCCCGGCCCAGATGGATTCACAGCAGAATTCTACCAGACATTCAAAGAAAATCTACAACCAATACTGCTTAAATTATTCAAAAAGATAGAAACAGAGGGAGACCCCCCAGACTCCTTCTGTGAAGCCAGCATCACTCTAATACCAAAACCAGGTAAAGATACAACAAAAGAAAACTATAGACCCATGTCCTTAATGGACAGAGATACAAAAAGTGTCAACAAAATACTTGCAAACTGCATACAGACACACAACAAAAAGATCATCCACCATGACCAAGTCAGCTTCATTCCAGAGATGCAGGGATGGTTCAACATACATAAGTGAATAAATGTAATAAAACATACAAATGGACTTAAAGACAAAAACCACATGGTAATCTCAATAGATGCAGAAAAGGCATTTGACAAAATTCAACATGCATTCATGTTAACAGTTGTTGAAGGAGTTGATTTGGGGGGAACGCACCTCAACATAATTAAAGCTGTATACAAAAAACCCATAGCCAACATCGTCCTAAATGGAGAAAAACTGGAAGCACTCCCATTAAAATCAGGAATCAGACAGGGCTGTCCACTATCTCTACTCCTTTTCAATATAGCACTTGAAACCCTTGTTAAGAGCAATAAGACAAGAGAAGGAAATTAAATGAGTACCAGTTGGAAAAGAAGAGGTCAAACTAGCCCTGTATGCAAATGACATATTATACTTATGAGATCCCAAAAATCCCACTAGAAAACTGTTAGAATTGATGAATGCTTTCAGTAAAGTGGCAGGATACAAAATCAACTTAAAAAAAATCAGTAGCCTTTCTATATACCAATAACAAGCAATCAGAAAAAGCACTAGAGGAACCCCCCCAATCTCAATAGCCTCAAAAAAAATTAAATATTTAGGAATAAACCTAACCAAAGACATTAAAGATCTGTACAGTGAAAATTTCAAAACTCGAATGAAAGAGACAGAGGAGGACACTTAGATGGAAAGAACTACCATGTTCATGATTGGCAGAATTAATATTGTGAAAATGACCATCTTACCAAAAGCAATTTACAGATTCAATGCAAACCCAATCAAAATACCCATGACATTCTCCACAGAGCTTGACAAAATCATTCTGAAATTCATATGGAATCACAAAAGACCTCAGATAGCCAAAACAATCTTGGGCAAAAAGAACAATGCTGGGGGGATTGCCATACCAGATCTCAGATTATATTACAGAGCTATAGTCATAAAAAACAGCATGGTACTGGCACAAAAATAGACACATAGATCAATGGAACATAACAGAAGACCCAAACATGAGTTCATATAATTTCAACGACCTAATATTCGACAAAGGTGCTAAGAACACACAATGGAGGAAAGATAGCATCTTCAACAATTGGTGTTGGCAAAACTGGATCTCTACCTGCAGAAAAATGAAAGTTGACCCTTATTTTTCACCCTGCACAAAAGTCAACTCCAAATGGATCAAAGGCCTCAATATAAAGCCTGAGGGAGGCAGAATAAGTCAGAGTAACTGGCAGGGAAGAGAGGAGGGAGGGGCATGCAAGGGACCATAGCACGGGGGAGGGAAGGAAGTCAGGAAAGGAAAGATGGCGCGAGTTGGGAGGTATTGGGGTGAGGGTGGGGATAATGGGGCACTGACTAGGAAGGGAGGGAGGCCAGACGAGAGAAAGAAGAATAGAGATGAGTGAATCCCGGGGCGGGGGGGGGGGGGGGGGGGGGGAAACCTAGAGGGAAAAATGATGCCCTAGAAACCCTATGAGAAATGCACGTAGTGTCTGAACATTAAAGCATATGTATACCTAGGAGCTGCTTGGTAGGGATCACAATGCCAGATAGAAGAGACCTCCCTTAAAGTGACAAACATGCTGTACCGCACTCATCAAAGAACTTTCTTTTTGCAATAGATGGAGGCTGCTGCAGAGTTGCACATCTGGTCAGGCACAGAGAACATACACCTGGGAGATGACCAGTACTAGGTGACATATCTGAAGTTGAATCTCTACACCCAAGGCTCATGGAACACAGCAGAATAAGGGGTAGAAAGAGGGTTAATGCACCCCTCAACTCTCACCAGTGAGGCTTCCATGTATATCAGAGTGCGATGCACACAGAAGGCCACGACTGACCAACTTTTGGAGAATACGAGACTGTAGAGTGTACAATGGGATTCCTATATGGAACCTCACCCACCCATTGCTCAGGGACCACTGAGGAAGAGGAGGCAGAAGAGCCAAGGCTGGTTCATGAACATGAGGTGGAGGCTTCCAGGCTACTGGAGGCTTACTCATGTGACCCTGTGGCAGCAATGGTGTCAAAAATGGGACCCATGTCAGCTCAATCAAACGAGGGCCCAAAGGGGAGGTGAGAGAGAAGTGGCGGGCCAGCACTAGATTGAGAACTATTTGAGACTGATTGCTGCCGGGTGACAGAGAGTATGACTTACATACGACCACTGGATGGGCTGACTACACTCCAGTGGATACATTTACACTGAAAGACATTTGGGTACAAACATCTGAATGAATAGGACTCAGCATGTATGGCAGAGTGCATAGGGTTTGGTGGGGGAGGGGGAGGCATGGCTGAGGGAGTGGAGTCTGGATTTGAGTGGGAAATATATGAAATTTTAAAAAAAGCTCAATAAAAATCTTTTAAAAGTTAAGTATTTTATCATAGAAATGTTTAAAAATGTAAAAGACATAAAGTCAAGATACCTCATAATCTTAATCTCTTTAATGTGCTTCCTTCATCGAAATGTTTTTCCTAGTTTTCTCCAGTCAACAGTAGCTTCTCCCTGCCAGCTGTGCTTGAGAAACCCTGAATCTCACTCCCGATGAAAACCCCTGTCCTGTCCATTATCACATTCTGTTAGGTCTTACAAAACAAAAACAAACAAACACTATTCAGGATCACTCACCAATCCCACCTATACTATCTAATATTTTCTGCCTTGCCCTAAAGCACTCAAGGTATGAACACTTCATTGACGGTTTCAGATACCACAGTGCAGTTAAACTTCTAGAAATACCACCTGTCAACTTTTCATGCAGCAACAGGGAATATTAAAAATGATCTGGAAAGGCTATTAAAATAGGTTTAATATTCCTTTTTAAAACTACATGACTCAATGAGGCTAGATTTTCTTTATATCTTTCAATTAAAACAACTTATTGTAATATTCATTTTACGTTCACTGCAAAGAGATAAAAGGATCTAGCATTTTGCAAAATGTAAAATAATGCCATAATTTTGTGGCTTTAGAAAATAATTATTATTCATAAAAATTATTTATGTAACTATATAATGAATCTATTACCTTTATCTTCAAATAAAGTACTTAAAAATTTCTGTTTTACTTGAAAATTTCTCAGTTTTAATTAAATATGGAAATTTTAAGGGATCAATGTTTATTTAGAGTGAACTTCCAAGTCCATACCATGTTTCATCAACTCTCTACATAGGCTGACCCCATTTTCTCTACGAACTACACTCTTAACTCTCTCTGACCTATTTTGAACCACTTCCCTGGCTTCCCAATAGTCATTTTGATTTTCCTTGAATAGAAAAGGAAACTTCCTTCCATAGGAGAGCTTTGGTAAATGATTCTCTTACTGCTTGCAACACACACTTCCAGAAGCTCCATGGCTCTCCTCTTCTCTTTCCTTTTTGGCTTTTTGAAACAGAGTTTAACTATGCAGCTCAAACTGAACTTGAACTTGCTATGTAGCTCAGGCTGGCATCAAACTCAAGATTCTCCTGTCTCTTCTAAGTGCTGTGATCATAGGCATGTGTCAACATACCTGCCTTGACTTAAGATATTTAAGTGTAAGTCTTTGCCATCTTGAGTGAAAGTCCATTAATAGTAGGGACTTTTCTGTCTTGTATGCTCACTGCATACAAATGTACCTGGCAGGGGGCTGGAGAGATGGTTCAGCAGTTAAGAGCACTGACTGCTCTTGTAGAGGACCTGGGTTTGATTCCCAGCACCCACATGGCAGCTAACAACTGTCCATAGCTCCAGTTCCAGGGGATCCAACACCCTCTTCTGACCTCAGTGGGCATTACACTTATATACATGCAGTCAATACACTCATACACATAACATAAAAATAATAAAATATTTTAATAAATAAATAAACCAAAACTAAATGTACTGGGCATACACTTTGCTTTCAATATATTTTAAATGGATGACTGAAGTTGACATTATAAATGTATTTATATTTGCTTTTCTCTGGAAATTCTTGATTTACCAGGTATCTCTTAACAATGTTACAGTAAAGTCTTAAAAGGAATAAAATATGAACATCATAAACACTTTCATACCTGACATACTCTGAGAGCTTGGTCTAAGACAGTTTTGGTATCAGTGTCATAATCTGGGCAAGGCAGCATGGCCCGGCTGAGATGTGCCTGTAGCAGGAGATGCGCTTTGGTGTGAGGGCTGTCAAATGAGTGTGGACTTAATTCGATGGGAAGACATTTGGCCAATTCACTGTTGGTATGGTCCTCATTATGTCTTACTGGCAAATCTGTGTACTCTTCTGCATCCTGCAAACAAAGGAAACTTTAACTTGATGATCAAGTATAACAACTTATGTACTTCTCACTGACTTTATTTTGTTGTCTGGAGTTCAAACAAAGAACCTTGCACATGCTATGCACGTACTCTATCACTGAGCCCCATCCCTAGTTGTAATTAATATACTTTTTAACTATACCTTCTGATTTTTAAAACATTTTGTAAAGACCATAAATAACCATATCCCTTCAAATCTTGCTTTACTTAATAGTATCATGGATATAGACGTAAGCTAATAATGTAAAATATATTTGAAATTCATAATTTGTTTTTAAGTAGTGAACAAAAATAACACAGGACCTATTAGGCATTACATGTTACCATGACAGGCCACAGCAGTGAACCAGAACCTGAGCTTGCCAGGAAACATGGACCATCAGTTCCATAATGTATAGTAAGTGCTATGATATGCTAAGTATAAGATTGGAGGAATTTCCAGGAAAAAAATTCCTGGAAAAAGTGAGGCTTAAGACTTGTGATGACAGGCAGAAATAGGCACTTCTGGAGAAAGAGCCAAGAATGGGATTGGCAAGGCGAGTAAAAGGAGAAGAACAGGATCATTGATTTAAAATTTATTGCAATCAATCAGATTACAATAAATTACAATGCAATCAAATTATTGTATACTAAATGTTCTCTATGGAGTTTTTTTTCTTAGAAGCTTCAACTGACTGATACTGTAGAGGCTATATTCCACTACTAAACCCTAGTAACTGTACACGGAAGTAGCCTGTTCCATTAAAAAATAGACTGACCTACTTGCATATAATTTTTTATGGAAGAAAATCTTATTTTTTTAAAAATGTAGTTGAGATTCAGTCTGATACTGTTGATATGAAGTTCTACACCATCTGTAACATTAACTGCATGGGTTAATATTACAAAATGGTTTGAAAGCATTTGGTTAGCAGGGAAAGGAAAAAGCACATGAAATAGTGGCCCTGAAGGTAATGACCATAAAGTGATAAAAGACAATAACTCTCAAGATTTAGAAAACACACTTGATGAACCTTGCTGTTCTCAGCTTACTGTATAGAGATTTTCCAGGCTATGCTGTGGAGAGGTAGAATCCAGGAGGACTTGGATGACCACTTGACTTGAGATGGAGCTGAAAGCCCGAGGAAATGAAGGTGGCTAAAATTTGTGTAAAACAATTAAGGGAGATGGCTACAGATTAGGGATTGGGTGGGGTCAGGGAGAATGTGTATGTATGACCTCTAGACATTTCCAGGAAGTCCTCTTTAGGTATTCAGTACAGTATGAATGCAAGGAAGCTGTCCACATCATTAAAAAACAGTTATACCCAGGAACACTGTCCAGCACTGAAACAGTGCCTGAACTAATTCTTATTTCTACACATGAACCAGAGACACTCACAGTATATAGGGTATAGGGAAGAGATGGTCTTGCCTGAGGACTAGGGAATAATGAACTGCATAGTGAGTACTACTCTGAACCTGTCTAAAAAAAAAATTAAAGGAAGATCTAAAGGGATCACATGCTTCCAAATAAATGAACTAAATTCCACAACAAAGTTCAGAAAGATTTATAACAGGTTTACAAAAATTCAAGAAGATGAAATTTATAATGGATGATATCTAGTTAGGTAATGATTACTTGCTAGGTAAAAAAGCAGAAAAATGGTATCTAATATGGAGAATAATCAGTTAATGGAAACTGATATTAAAGAACTAACAGGTCTTAAAACTAAAAGATAAGGATATTAAAAGTTATTATAACTATATTACATATGTACAAGCAGAACCAATGACTCAAATTTCTTGAGATAAAACTACAATATCTAATGAGAAAACTGCACTGTATTTTATTAACAGAGTATATACATGGATGAACAAAAAGAATCAATGGACTTAAAAACATCAATATAAATTACTAAAAACGAAATAGAAAAGATTTTAAAAAATGAACATAGCATCAGTACATTACAGGAACTTCAAATGGCCTACTATGTATTAGAGGAGGAAGACGGGAAAAATGCCGAAGAAACGATGACTGAGAAGCTTCCAAACTGATATATATTATGAAAAAATAAATATGAGGTCAATGAGTCCTATAATCCAAGAAAACTGCTCTATCCATCACAATGGAATAACTAAAACAACACGATGAAAAAATAGGACAAATAGCCAGTGGGAAAACAATGTTATATACAAACGCAATTTTGAGAAAAGATTTATCATCAGAAATAATACAGTGAGACAATGTGGAGCAACGTCTTTAAGGTACTTAAAGAAAAACAAAACAAAACAAAAACAAAAATAGTCTATCAACTAATCAGCCCAGAAAGCTACTACTAGGGCAAAATAAACCCTCAAATGTGATGCCAGGCATGGCCACATATACCTGTAGTGCCAGCTACTTTGGCAGGCTGAGACAGGAAGATTGCTTGAGAATAGGCCATGGCTGCCCAGGGCAGTGTAGCAAGATCCCGTTTTTAGAAAATAATTCCTTAGATTTGTTCAGGAAGGACACTGCTACCAGATGAAAATATAGAGCTATACAAAGTCATACAGAGTACTGGGAAGAGTAACTACATAGGCAATATATAAGAATTTGTTGTGATTATTTTAATCACTGAATGACAACTATGTCAACAAAAACAATGAACACATTGCAGAGCTTCTGATGTATGGCAAAGTAAATTAGATGGCTCAATGGCATAATTTCTAGTAAGGGAGAAGTGGTGGTTTCCTCTATAGCTTTGGTTGTCAACTAGACACACTTGGGATGAGAGAACCTCAACTGAGAAGTTTCCTCTATCAGACTGGACTATGGATATATCTGTGAGGCATTTCCTTGACTGCTGAGTGAATAGGAGGGCTCAGTCCACTGTAGGGTGGTGGCACTCCTGGGTAGGTGGTCCTGAGTTATATAAGAAAAAAGGCTACAATGCAACCTCTACACCTAAGGCTCATGGAACATAGAACAGGGTTAAAGAAGAGGACACTAATGAATCTCTCAGTTCTCAATAATGAAGCTCCCTCACGCAGTGGAGGGCCAGAAAGACAAAAGATCACATATGACCAAAGCATAGAGATCAGGAGTCTGCTGGATGCCAGTCCTTAGACAGGACTCCTTTATTAAACTTTACCCATCAAAGGCTCATAGACCATTGCAGAAGAGGGGGTGGAAAGATTGTAAGAACCAGGGAGGAGGTGCCCGACCATAAGGAAACAGAGTCCTACAAGTTCCTGGGAACCTACTCATATGATTCTATGGCAGTGGTGTCAGCATACACAGGTCCCATGCAAACTCAGGCAGGCAAAAACCCAGCACAAAAATGAGAAAATGAACAGCAGACCCCAATCTTACCTGAAGAAATACTGGGAATTGATTGCTACTAGGTGAAGAGTTGATCTTCCTAAAACAAGGGACTCTACATAGGCTGACTAGGCCTCAGTGGATGGATCCAACTGGGGAATGTCTGGGGACACTGATGATACAGTGATCCCATGGGGATGGCAGAGTATATGGGCTTCAGTGGAGGTGGGGTGGGGGCGGCAGCTATGGGAAGGTGCCAGTGGGGATGGAGGTATGGAGATGATCAGGATTGTTTGAGATGTTCTGTACGAAATACACGAAAATTCAATAAAAAAATGAAAAAAGAGAAAAAGAAAAAATGCTGAGCACAGGCCAGAAAATAGAAAAAATCAGTAGCCTTTCTATATACCAATAAAAAGAAATTGTAGAGAGTACATGGAAAACCTCCCATTCATAATGGTCTCTCTCTCCTATATATTTAGGAATAAATCTAAGCAAAGACAGAAAAGATCTGTACAACATAGAGATCTTTAATGTCTTTGGTTAGGTTTATTCCTAAGTATTTTATTTTTTTAAGGCTATTGAGAATGGGAGGGTTTCCTCAAGTGCCTTTTCTGATTGCTTGTTATTGGTATATAGAAAGGGTACTGATTTTTGTAAGCTGGTATTTTATCCTGCCACTTTACTAAAAGTATTAATCAATTCTAACAGTTTTCTGGTGGATGTTACCAAGGGGGAAATGTGGAAAACGTGGGTATTCCACTGGGAAGGGAGGAGGGAAGGACATAAGAGGAACGATGTAGATAAAGGGGAAGAAGGAACTCAATGTGGGGGGGTGGTAATAGGAGACAGGTATTATCAAGAGGAAAATGGGGGAAACTAAACTGGGGGTGGAGGAGGGAAGTTAGACAGGGAGAGAAGAGAGATGATAATGGATAAACTCAGAGTGAAATGTATTAACTCCCCCCCCCAATACACGTACAGTATCTGAATATTCATGTATGAGTATACTTGAAGGGTATATAACAAGGAACACAGTGCTAGATAGGAGAAACCACTCTTCGAGTTATTGGTTGGGGTAGTTCTAGAAATCCCATAATAACACAGGGTATTGCCACAGCCCTTGGTTACCTCCCAAAACTTGAAGGTAATACTCTATTGCTGAAGACAGACTTGGAGCAATGGTGCTTCATGTAACCTGTACACCTTCACCCTGAAGACTAGATCTCATAGTTCTAGAGGATACTGTGCAATCTATGGGAGAAAATCAATTAATGGTCTAACCCTGTTCCAAAGTCTAATAACCAAAACAGCTGGCACAGCAAACTATCTCTATTGGTGCAGTAGTGGCACTTTTATCTCGGGGGGGGGGGTAATTAACAGCTATCTAATTGGACTTAAAGCCCTTTCAATGGGAGATAACTCATGGTGGCACTTTGGATATAGCCAAACACACATGGCTGGAGAGGTCATAGATCCTAGAGAAAACACTATCTCTGTCATATCTCTAGGCAAATGAAATTTCTTATTGTCTGCTAAATATGGACCCTTATAGTTACAGACAAGTGTACAGTACACTACTCATTAAATAAGCTTCTTTTTGCAACAGATGGAGGCTATTACAGAGTTCCACAACTGGTTGCACACACAGAATATATGTTTGAGAGATATCCAGCCCTAAGTGACA